ACACACACAGACATGAGTATGAGCATCTGTGCCCAGCTGGAAGTGTAACAGTAGCTCATTAAAGCGCTGACACCGCACAACACACTGTAGGAAGGTGAGAATGGAAAATGATATATGCTGAGAGAGAACACACAGAGAGGGCAAAACAAAAGAGATTGGGGGATTAAGAGGATGAGGTGTAAAAGGAAGTGGTAGAGAGAGAATATAAAGACTGAAGAGAGTGGAGAAGTTCATGGGATAATAGTGGAAGAGGAGAGAAAAAGTAAAGATGGGGATGTGTGTGGTAAATGTGTGCATTTTGTGCTCACATCTCTCTACGTGTGTGTGCCCCTCTATCTTCGCTGACTTGCAAACTACTTCTGGGACAGAAGATCTACTGCAGCCATTAATCTCATTTTAATAATTGATGCTGTCTTTTCCAGGGGGAGTCTGGCCTGGGCTGTTGACATAAAATGAGACATTTAGTGCTAACTGGTAATTGCCAAATTAGTTTTCTTTTCTCCACTATTAGGCAAGTGTACCAGTAAAATTGCCTAAATGTACAATATCTATTTGGCTTCATTACTGTAATTTCCAAGACCATCCACCATCTGTATCACCAAGGTTTTACTACTGTAATATATAGTACATCACGTCTAATGTGACAGAAACCAGTTTGCTCTTAATGCTGGTGAACTACATTCCAGCAGATGAACAACTGTGACTTTTAGTTTTGGAGTTAAGAGACTAGGTGTTGATTCTTCAGGGGTCTGGGCAGAGTGGGGTGGAACAGGTAGCAGGAGCGGGAAAGACAAGGGGCTGGGACTGAAATAACGAGGAATCATGGGGCAGATGCAGAACAAAGTCAGAGATCATGGCAGTCTGTTGTCATGGTGATGGCTTCTGATTTCTATTCTACATCTTATGATTGTGCTTATTAAAGAACAGACGTTATTTGTATCACACCGATGATGGGGTGCAACGTTTGACACTGACTGATTAATCTAGCATTTGAAGTTCACTGTGCCATGGCAAAATAATTAACACTGCTGGGAGCAAAACACTTATTTGATTGAAATTAAGGGGTAGAAAGAGAGCATTGAGAAGAGTCTCCAAGTGGACACATAACCTTCATCAAGTGTTCTAACTGTAGTGTGTCCTTCACTGTTCCTGTGAGAAGTAACAACATAAACTGTGACTTAATCTTTGAGGCAAATCTTCCGTGTTCTTTTTTTGAGTATGAGCCTAAAGATGTGAAAGGCAGAAATCTCAGAACCTGCTAAAGTAATAAGCCTAAAGATGTGAAAGGCAGAAATCTCAGGACCTGCTAAAGTAATGAGCAGAGAGAGAGAGAGAAACAGGATAAGATGTCAGTTTCTCTTGTGCGAGTGCCTACAAGATGGTCCTGTGATAAAAGGTTGACACAGAGGAGTTCTCAAGTGGGCACTCTCCCTTGACGTGTTGTCGATAAACCCCTGGAGGGCCCGACAGTATTCTGGTGTCTCAGAAAGACTCCTCTCTGTGTCCTCGTCTCCAACTTTGGGACCCGGCAGGCATCTTGGCTCTTTGTCCAAAGCCACTGCGTGCTTCTCTCTACTGCCTCTGATGCAGTTTTGATGGCTAAACACAGACTTTGGCCTCTGATCCACAAACCTCTGAGCAGTTTGAATGTGGGTGTTGCCACGGCACCTCTACACCCTACCTTACCTCAACAGCAGGAGCTTCAGTTCAGCCATGTTGTTGTGCTCCAGCGGCTAATTCAACACAGTGTAGATGTTTCTGCTCATCCTTCCAGAGTACAGTGAGCTCGATAATGAAAGCCTTTTTTGATAGAAGGGGACACAGAACCAAATTAGGCCTTAGCGTCTTGGTAGTAATATATAGAGGGAATGCGAGTTGCCAGCCAGTGTCCACCAATGTCTTCAAGTTGCAGTATTTGAATTGATAAAAAGATTAATTCCACTTTGATGTGCCAGCTGAAATTTCACACTTAATATTCCAAATGTCCTTATGAGTCGCGTGTAGCATTTCAAAGTCTGCTTCTAAAATTATCTCCAACATTCAAAGCTTTC